AAAAGTCCTTTTAATAAGAGTTTTTTCTTTGGTAGCCTCTAGGGCTAGGGACGGCATATAATCTTAAAAATTGAGTGTAATTGTTCTATTGCTGTGGTTTTAAGGAAGTAAATTAATTTCTCTGTGCCTGAGTTTCTCTTATCTGCAGACTAGAAATAAAATACCTCCAAGAGTTGTAGTAAGGATCAAGTGAAATAATACATGAGAAAGGGTTTTATAAAATATTAAACAGAGAACCTTTGGTGTCCTCACTTTCTCTCGTGTCCTCACTTTCCTCCTGGCTCAGTTTGTATTTCATGGTCATCATGATAATCCCTTGAGCCCATCCTTATCTCCCTTGTCCCTCCTGTATTTCCCCCCTTCTTTTTTTCTCCATTCTTGGCAATCCAAATCTAACAACACAACAGCAGCAAGAAGAGAACAGCTTCAGTCTCTGATAGGTGAATTTAAATTGTGATTCTACCTTTCGTAACTTTTGGGAAGTCACTTAACACTTCCAAACTTCACTTCATCATCTGTGAAAGAAAATGATGATGAGACATCATCCAGTTGTTGTGAAGATTAAGTTCAGTGACATTTGTTGCAGGACAGCACAAGATTTGGCACATGATAAGAAGTAACAGTTACTGCAGTAACTGTCAGCAGTAGCTAATAGTAAGTAGTAATTACTGGTATTATTTAGAATCCATTTTTTTCTGTCTCGAAAAAAGCCTAAGACCAATTTACAAATGTTCATTTCCAAACATGAGTGCATATGTTACTACAGAATGTAAAAATATTTTAAAAATTCTGATTGAATATCCTCACAGTAACCTTCTATTCTTTTCCTTAGTACCTTAAAAAGTCAAGAAATTTCTAGTGTATTTTTGACTCACAGTAAAAGAATTTTTTAAAAGAGAGGATGAAAACTATCTTCTTACAGCTGTTTTGAATTCATAAAACATGGCCTATGAGATATACAAACATAAGTACATGAATATTATATTCAGGTTCAGATGAGAAAAACTTTTGTAGGTAGCTAAGTAACATTTTCCTCAAACCCACTATATGGTTCCACAGGACTCAATGCCTACTTTGCGATTTAGAAGATATCTCTCAAAATATTGACACTCCTTTATAATGAGTTTCTGATTACAAAAGAAAAATTCACCTTAACAAGTGGAACTGCAGGCATTTAAACAATTCTCCATGGTATTTTAAGGCTTCTTTGTTAGCCAATGAATGGTTTATTAGTAAAACAATAAAACTTTCCATGTCCCTTCTTATTACCATCCATCACTGAACAGCTGTAAAATCACCAGCTGCTAGGAAAGAGAACTAAATCAGTTCTCTCCAGCTGCAAAGAGAAAAAGTTACAATCTCCTTTTCACATAATTTCTGGGATCCCAGCAGACTGGAGTCAAAGTACAGCTTTCCTTGCCACAAAATCCCTAGCCTTGTAAACATGTCAACCAGCACATAAGCTATGATTTATTTTTGTTGTTATGGGGGAAGAAGTGTATTTGGGAGTAGAGGAAATGGCAGAGATAATACAACAGGAGAGCAGCAAAGTGAGCAGTGTCTACCATATCCCAGGCATTGTCTATCATGGTTTTCACTCCTCACAATAACCATATCAGGTAGATAGTATGTATCCTCATTCATTAGGAAACTGAGCTTCAATAAGACTGAGCGCCTTAGTAAGTGCTATGGTGACTCAAATCCAGGTCTATGTGACACCAATTCTAGGGTCTTCACCACTAAGAAAAACTGAACTAGACCTGACCTTGGAAGAAGGAGAATCATAGAAAATGTGATACTATGTTTAAAAGACAGGGAGAGTCTTATGAGATAAATGAAGCCACAGACTTGTCTTCTGCTTTGTCTTTTAATACTTCCTTCTTCTAAATAAAATGCCCTAAAACCTTATGTAGTTTAAGACATAGACCATCATTTTCATTAACTTCCTTAATTAGCTATTATAGCCATCAAAAATTCTAGTCCATAAAATCAGATTTCGTTCATTAAT